TATATATATATATATCCTGAAGACTAAACAAAACCAGGTTAACTGCTATGACCTGCTAACCCCCTGGGTCTGCTCCCAGCCCCACTGCTCACTGGGGTGGAAGAGGAGGTGCCACTGCTCTCTTGAAGCTCATTCTCCCCTTGTAGCTCTCAGGGAGGCTCCTTATCGCACTTAGACGTGAAGTTCCTCCAGCGCAGGCACCCCTGGAGACCCTGGCTTTATCCCATACATGGCCAACCCAATAACCTCATCACAAACTGCTTGTGTGGGAAGAGACCTCCTGGCTCTGGTAGTCTGTAGGATCAGTAACTGGATCAGTAACCTGCTGATTTATCTCTTCTCTCATTTGCTGCTACTTGATGTTACGCGCAGCAATGTCACTTTTCACATCAAAGATGAGCGTGTGCAGTGATGTAAAGGAAATCCTTCCCCGGTGGGTTTTATCTCACATGTCCCTGTGCCACTTTGGCCCATCAGAAAGGCCTGTCCCCATGAGGTCCCCACTTCAAGTGCTCCAACAACTGTCTGCTTAAGAAGAGCAAAGCCACCATCCACTTCACCAACCACCTGGACCACAAGCTGCTAGCATGGAAATACCATGAGCAAACACCACCAAAGACCCAAATGCTGGTTTCATAATGGAGGAACAGGGTAAACATCTTCCCAGCCTTGCAGCAGGGTTCAAGCCAGGGACGCACAAACCTGGTGGGCACCAGCCCTTGGGCGCTGAGCCTCCAGGGTCAGAGGCTCTCTGGGGGGACAGGGAGACCCCAGCCAGCACCGCGGTGGACAGCCCTCTCAACTCACTGCATCAAACGCCGCCACTGAGAAGGCAACTTCTACAAGCATTGGGGAGGCTTGGAGAGCCACCACCAGTGGGGATGGCTGATACAAGGCTTGTAGGAAGCACTGAAGATCTAGGTTATCACTCGGGGTAAGATAGCAAGTTCTTTTGGAGGAGGAAAAGGGCAGGAGCACATTATGGAAGCACAGCTGAGCACATATTTCACGGTAGTATTGACTTCAAGAGTGCAACAGTCCACAGGAAGAGGCTCCCCATCTGTGCACGGCCAGGAGGCAGCCGGTGCAGTGGGCTATGTCCTGTGGTGAACACCCTGCTCTGAACCCCTGTTTGGGGAGGTGGATGCTGACCGCTGCAGCCATCTCTCCTGTACTTTGGATCAATGACATATTTTTGATCTATCAACGATCATTGATCAAAATGCAGTGATGCATTTTTGACTTAGCCCTTAGCCACGACATCCTAGATGATGAACCTGGGGCACACTGGGGCAACTAACCCTGCTTGAGCCTTTAAAAGGCTCTTCCACCAAAATTGAGAAAGTATTGCCTCCTTAAGGCAGCAGACTTTCCTTCTCCACCATGGTGGGCTCTGCCAGTTTGACTTGACACTGCAAAGAAATTGAGCAATTTTTGGCTACCATCTGGTACTACAATCAATCTTCACAGTTGAAGCTGTCATCGTCACACACTGAAACCCCGCGTGACACCAGCAAGCAATGAAGAGCGCCCACAGCTCTTGTTTTTAACTTGAGTTGAAACATATTTTCCAGGAAGGTTTAGCCTAATTTGGTAGTTTTGTACTTGTAAGAGACACACGAAGGGCTAGGCTTTACGTTTTATCTTGGCTGTACTGGGTATAAATGGGAAAGATGGGAACCGCTGGTGAAGAAGGCACAGGATATAAGGCAGACCTTGCGTTTTGGTGCATTAAAATCTTCTCCAAGGGAATGGGAGTTGTGGTGTTTATACAGGAGGGAGGAGACTGGACTCATTTCCATCCTTAATAAGATGCACTGTTTCTTCATACTGAAGCCAGCAGTTGCTACAAGACACCCCTGCACGGCTCTGTGCAAAGAGTGTGGGCTGAGCTCTGCCCATCTCCCACTGCCAAGATGAAACCTTTACGAATTGAAGCACTAAAGCTTCCCTTCCCACCTCGGCTTACAGCGACGCTCGCCTGAAACACCAGCGAGGTTCTGGAGAGGCTGGTCCAGCCGGGGGTGTCTCAGGAGGGAGCCAGAAGCTGCAGGATGGCTCAGCCGCAGAGCAGCTTCGTGCACCGACCGGATGGGTAAGAGCTGGCCCACACAGCACAGGCAGCTCCCCGGGAGCACGGGAGGGAGACTGGAACCAGACTGTGGCTGCTCGGTGCCGTGCCTGCTCACAACCCTGCCTGGAGTCTGCTCCTGCTCCCTGTGGCACAACAGCCCAGCGGACATCCCTCTTGCAACACCCTTCTCTCTCTGCAAGAGCTACTTGGATAATTTATTAAATCCTCTGATGGGATGGATGGGTCCAGTCCCAAGCTTGCCAAGCCAGAGGGTCAGAGCCAGCAGCCTCCCTCATGGCACGGGTGCTCCGAGTCCACCTGGACCACGGGGAGTTTGTCTGGACAAGCAGAGACCTCAGGAACTGGGATGCAGCGCAGTGGGCTGTGATGTACCCAGACAGCAGGGTTAGGAAGAGGTTGTATGTTCATTATTTTCAATAAATTCCAGGTTATTATAGAGGGTTCCTCAAGAAAAGAGCTCTGGGAACCAGCCACAATGCTTACATGGAGTCCCTGGCTGCTCCAATGCGGGGAACTTGTGTTTTGGAGAGAGACCAGGCAAATCTCTGAGGTATTCGCACAGTCCCGCTCTGACAGAATGAGCCATGGCAGTAATCATACGAATTTAACAGCTGGGAAAAAATGACGTGCAAAAAGTTTCCATATACGGGGGCAAAATTTGTACTTCAAAAGGACACCATGCTCTGTACAGCAGATTGAACAGATAACATTACCCAGCCGATATCACTCGCTGAAAAGCTGAGGGCGACTCATTGCTATTTTATTATGGCAAAAGTGCAGCTGTGTGATCTCATGGAAAACCCTGTCAACTGAGCTCTGATACTGAAGCGGGAAACCCAAGGCCATCAGAAGTCCACCCCAAGCAAGACCACCATCCCTTTCTCCATGAAAATCAAGTTTTTCTTTATCAAAAACCTTCCACGGCGCCGTGCCAGCTCCACCAACCTGACTTAAGCTTTGCTTTCCAGTTTTCTGGAGGGTGAGGATGGCTTTGCGGGTGGGGTAGCCCAAGGCTATAACGGGCTCGATGAGGTCTCGCTCCTCTTGGCTCAGCGCCGCGAGCAGATCAGCCGCCGAATCCTGCTGGGATCTCTGGGAACTGAGGGGTCGCGCAGGCGTGGAGGCAGGGGGAAGGCAGGTGTAGGGGCTGAGGGACTGCAAGAAAAAAACAGCAGATGTTCTTCCTGCTCCCATTCATGAAATGATGTTAAAAGACCCAGGCTGAAGCAATGCTTTTGAACACCAGCAGTTACCTTGCTCTCTCTGGAAGAGGAAAATTCCCATACCTGGAACAAACCCCCTTGGGCTTCAAAGGAGACTGGACTTAATTAAATCCAGGCTCAGCTATAGGGACAGGTCAGAGAAAACAGAGCTCAGGAGCGTTCATGGTGCAAAGAATGCAAGAGCAGCTTCCTTTCCCTAGGAATTCTGGTCACATCTCCAGCCATAAATGCCACCCTCGACCGGCCAAGCGAGGCAGCACTGCCCACAGGCAGGTGATGCAGCAGCCCGAGCAGGAAGATGCTCCCCTGATGCCTCATTTATGCCCCTGATGTTTATCAGATGCATCTAGGTTTCTCTTACAAAGCCATCTCCAGAAATGCCCTTGCACATAGAAATGCTTGCCTGAGTATGAGGCTTTAGTATTTGGCATGATCCATTTGTAACAGCAGCTGAGCAGGGCGGGCGATGGATTAGTAATTAGTTGCAACAGCTGTTTAGTGTATAAATACACATGGGCATCTAATCTTTCCTTAATTACCCTGTATCTGATGCAACTACATGTAAATAACCTGGCCTTTCATGTGTCCAATGGTTTTAATTGTGAGTTTTCAGTAATTCATCTCCTAAATCTCTCAAGTAGCTGGATGAGATGCAATTTCTTAAAAAACATGGCACAATTCAGATTCAAGGTGATGGGAAGCAATATTTACTCCATCACTTCACATCACTGCCTCTATCGTTAAACAATTCATATTTCTAGTAGGACTAGGAAATCTGAAGTTTCCTACACTTTTATGAAAAGACAGACAGACATTACACAGAGGAGGCCAATATTGCACGAGGTGTCAGGTGAAGTGGCCTTTTCCAGCTATAAAACAGGGTGAAGGAGGGCAGTGAGCACAGGGACAGATAATGAGGGAGATCCAGAAGAGAGGGGATGCAGGAACAACCCAGTTTTGTCTCCGTTCAAGGGAAAAAAACTTCTTTCACTTGTTTTTTAAGCATTTTGATTGAAAATCAAATAAGATGCCTTGCTTGTCAGGAAAAACAGGGATGTTTTGGTTAGGACAGAGCAAGTAAATGTTCTCCCAGAAAGCTTGCCTTTAAACTCCAGCAAAAAAAGTATCCTTCACTTCTTATGAAAACTCATCAGCAATTTCTCATGGGTTTAGTGTTCCCAAAGCCCCGTTTTGGTTCCATTTTGCTGGCCAGACCCCAGCAAACAGGACCGATTCGACACCCTCCACCTCCCTCCTGCCTCAGCAACAAGCAAAGGGCTACCAGAAGAAAACCACCTCACCGGCACCGTGGGCTTATGCCGTTTGATCGGGGGGATCGGTGCAGCTGTGACTGGAGGAGCTGGCACCAAGGTCCCCAGGTGGGACATATCCGGGGCTGGCCCGTACTTGACGCTGCGGCTGGTGCGGGGGCACTGGGCGAGCGGTTGTGGCACTGGGATCCCTCCGCTCTCTGTAGCAGCTCTGTTCAAAGGATGCACCAAAGCAGCCAGCTTCCTCCTGGCTGCTTCCAGCTCATTCTTCATGTTGTTAAATATCACCATGGATCTCCTCTGCTTGCTCGGGTCCGGGCTGGCTGGGTTGTGGCTGTTGTTCTCCGGCGAGGGCTCCAGCAAGCCGGGTGATGTCTTTGGTCGGGTCTGGTAAAAGCTGGGACGCGGCATCACACCTCTCCCAGCGTTTCTCCTCCTGGAAACCTTTTCATCCTTGTCGTTCTCTTCCCAGGAAGTCGAGGAGTACTCGTCATCCTCCGAGTACTCATCCTCCTCTGAGTGCCAGGTCTCGCTCTCGGTGTCGGACAAGGCACCTCTGCCCTTCACATGCCCGTAGCTGCCGTCGGCAGCGCTGAGGCTGATGCAGCGCCGCACCGCCCCGTCCCGCGCTCTGCCCCCGTAGCTGTCGGCGGGGTCCACCAGCAGCAGCCAGCACGGCGGAGCTGTGGGGACGACTTCGGAGGTGACTCGATGCCGGGAGGTTTGCTGCTGAGAGGCCACCTCGACCCAGTAAAGCACTTTTCTTTCCAGCGAGAAGTCGTGCTGCGGAAGAGCAAGAAGCAGCTGGTGAGGGCATCTGAAACACAGGGCACGGAGCAAACCATGCACTCCACGAGGGCACTGTAAGGGCTGCACCCTTCCCATATTGGCTCCTGTTTCCCTGAGCACCAGGGCTGGCTGCAGGCACTAGGGGCTATAGCATTGGACAGCGTCAGCCTCATCCCTGTAGAGAATCCCCAAATTCATGCTTGAAAAAAATCTGGCTTTGAAGTTAGTACTATTTTGAGTTGTATCTACAATTCTTTCGATAGGTGTCTTATGCTCAGATGTGGTTTTCTGTCAGTTTGGCTGCTGTGGAAGGGGACAGCATCCGTTAGTGGCACCCACATGGGGCACAGAGTCTCAGGAGCCACCAAGGGGGGAGATGCCACCTTGGGCAGAGGCAGGACCAGCCGTGGGAGTCTCCGGTGGCGCCAGGGGCTCAGCCAGTCCCATAACAGAGTCGTCATTTCCACGTATTCCAGCTTAAAATATAAGCATGTTTGAGACTGAAATTCAAGGGTTTTCCTGGAACAAACAAGCCTTGCCCGTCCCAGAGCTCTCCAAACAAGGTCTCCTCCGGACGGGCAGGCAAGTACATTCACAGCCCAGGAATGCTGTTTTTACTGCTCCCTGCCACTTGTCAGCTGTGGACCCAAACCAGCCTCCCCAAGGAAAGCACCACCGCGTGCCTCCAGAAGGATCAGACTGGATCACCAGTGCAATTTCTTGGTCTCAGCAGGGAGCATCACTGCGTCCCCAACCAGGGAGAAACCCAGGGCTGGGGGTTTCCCAGGACAGAATCATAGAATCACTTGGTTGGAAAAGACCTTTAAGATCAAGCCCAATCATACCTGTCCACCACTAAACCCTGTCCCCGAGCACCTTGTCTACCCATCTTTTAAATACCCCCAGGGATGGGGACTCGACCTCTTCCCTGGGCAGCCCCTTCCAGTGCCTGACAGCCCTTTTGGTGACGACATTTTTTCTAATGACCAACCTAACCCTGCCCTGGCACAATTTGAGGCCGTTTCCCCTCATGCCATCACCCATTACCTGGGAGCAGAGCCTGACCCGCCCCCAGCCCCCCCCTCCTCTCAGGCAGTTGTAGGGAGTGATGAGGGCTCCCCTCAGCCTCCTCTGCTCCAGGCTGAACACCCCCAGATCCCCCAGCCGCTCCCCAGCAGCCTTGGGCTCCAGACCCCTCCCCAGCTCCGTTGTCCTTCTCTGGACATGTTCCAGCAACACAACATCTCTCCTGTAGTGAGGGGCCCAAAATTGAACACAATATTCAAGGTCCGCCCTCACCAGTGCAGAGTACAGGGGCACAATCACTGCCCTGCTCCTGCTGGCCACACTATTCCTGACACACGCCAGGATGCTGCTGGCCCTCCTGGCCACCTGGGCACACTGCTGGATGGACAGGATGGTAAACCACCTCAGCTAGTCCATGGGGATGCAGACCATCACCTGCCTTTACACAGGTGGCAAAAAACATGTGCATTAAAATTTCCTTTGGAGGAATTGCTTGAAATGAACAGCACGGTGACTCTTCACATTAAACACGTCCTGTGGATTTGGGATGTGTCATTTTTGGGGAAGGGATAAGCAAGGGTGAGCTAGCAAAAAAACGGACACGGGGGTTTTACTGCTGGTTCATCCATCACCAGGAATGAGCAGAGGCTCTTTGGGATCGCCCAGATCGCCTTCGCCCCGTGAAGTGCACTGACCCCATCTACGGGTGAGACTACTTAAGGCTGAACACACAAAATGTTTCTGAAATCATCTTCGACTGGCGCTGTGCTAGCACTACCCATAAGCCCAGGGAGCTGACTCCAGGCCTTCAGGGCAATTGTGTGGGGAAAGGCTTCCTACCCCCTGCCAGAGCACAGACAGCTCCTTTGAATCACTGTGGTGGGGTTTAAAATTGGTGACAGAGCTGCTACAGCAATAGGTGAAGATTCAAAAGCAGTTTAGGACTCAGCAATATGGGAGATCACAAGGTGCCACAGGATATTTTTAATATATATATGCACACATTATATATATGTATGTTGCCAGTACAAGTAGTGTTGCCTGCTTACCTCTCTGATAGATTAATAAATATTTAATAAATCTTATTAATAAATAAGATGGTGATGATTCCAGACTAGAAAACAACCCCAGAGCAGAGCCTGAAGTTTGTCCTCCTATCCCAGAAAGACCCAACCCTCCTGCTTGGATGGGAATAAAAAAACCCAACCCCAAACCTACCCCTTCCTCACTCCCACCCACCACAAATCCTCCTCCCCTCCTCCCACTCCTGTAAACCAGCCAATTAAGAGGAGATCAATTAGAAGGAGGCGTTTCCCTTCCCTTCTTTCACAAGAAAAGGCAAACACCGCTGCATCCCTTTGAGCGTCCCCCCAGGAGAGAATCTGGGTGCGGACGCAAGCAGAGGTGACTCACCATGGTACTCATGAGGACATCAGCGCAGTCGGGTAGGTCGATGGCCGGGGCAGTGATTAAAGTGTTTTTTCCTCCAGAGTCCCCGTCGAGGCTCCTGGCAGTCCGGAAGGGAACTCCATCCAGGTAGCTCATCACTGCTGCCTGATTCCTTGCTGCCAGAGGAAGGGATGAAACAAAACGGTAAAAGGCAGGACCAGCACCTTTTAAGTTGAGTGCAGGGAGGGAAAGGTGAAGTATTTCAAGAGATGCCGGTAAAAGGAATGCAGCCCTTAGGGACGGCGCCAGCTGAGTAAAAACCACTGTGTGCAATGCCCAGATTTGCAAAATCTTAATTACTGATACTGGGAAGATTTGTCTGAACTAACCTTTGCTCTTCAGAGCTGGAGCCAACAGGACTTGACCATTTGGCAGAGATCCTGAACGTTTTTCTCCTCCACTTCCACCTCCATGCATGCCCCACTGCTTTCCATCCCTCCTCCTGCCTCTCCCTCCACTGCCCATCGCACGCTCCCTTCCCCAAGCTGGGGACAGACCAAGCACTTTTTCCAGTTTCGGAGGCAGAAACTGTAGCCAAGGAGGACACCTCACAGGTCTCCTCTCTCTGCCTGACCTGGGGGCAGCCATGGTTGTGGAGCTCATGCACATTGCGTGCTGCTAAGCCATCACCCGGAGCAGCCCCGGGGAGCTGGGGCGAGGGCATACCCCCCAGCGCCGCAGCAGCTTCTCGAGAGCCAAGCAAGGAGGCTGGTGCATCAGGCAAGCCTCGGTGTTAGAACGAGCCATTTTAAGGCCAGATTAGCTTTTAAGAAACATCGAGTCATTTTAAGTGCGGTGATGTTTTTTAGATCAGGAGTAGCAGGGGAGAGAAAAATTTCCAATGAACTGGGAATGGCGGCATGGAAAATGTTACTGCAATAGCATAGCCATCAGCTCGGTCTAAATGTCTCAATTTAGTAAAAAGCCACTGCTTGCTGCATGGAGCCTCGAGTCCTCGGCTTCCCAGCGACAACAGCGTGCAAAATAATTTCCTTTTATCTAATGGCCAGTTATCCGTCACGCTCTGGTACCTGCGGCCTGTGCTCATCCCAAAGCAGCAGCCCTCAGCAGCCATCCTCAGGGCACAAACAGTAAATACTTGGCCTGACAGGATCCCGACGTGCTTTCACTGATCTTTTTTTTTTATTCCTTTAAAAAGAAATGGCTTCTGTGACAATGAGGATAAACAGTCCACAAAGAGAAAATAAGCAGACAAATGTATCGAGGAAAGCTGCCTGTTAGCCTAATGCAAAAATAAGGGTCTATCATGGGAAAGGGTATTCCAGGTCATTTCTTATGTTAGCAGAGGACTAATGAACTGCCTCTAGACCACAAAGGAGGAGCGACATGTGCAACCACTCAGTTCAACCTGGTTGCTCTTGTCAGAATTACAGGCGTTGTCGCTCGCCTGCTTACGCCAGGAGCATTTAATACCCGGGGCTGTAGCGCAGGCAGAGCCCGTAACCAGCTTTGCGGCTCCCGCACATGTACCCCAGCTAACAGGCGACACATGCAACGTGTGGAGAGCCTGCACGGAGCCCGGCCATCTGCTCCCCAGCCTAAGAGGGCTCAGCCTAAGTTACAATCCACGTCAGCACCGGCAAAGACAACGCGTGAGAACATCTGTAAGCAAAGCCGCCTTCCCCCGGCTTCCCCCAGCTCCTCCGCCTGGCCACACAGCCCCTGCCTGCCAGAGGGACGGACCCTCCCTGCAGCTCGCGCCGTAAACCAGCTCTTCCCAAAAGCTGCGCGGTACAAAGGTGCAAAGGAGAAGGGGAACCCGTTGTCTGTCACCTAGAATGGCTTTACTTGGTTTAAAATGCCCCTGTAAGGGAGGGAGATGGGTAGTGAATGTGTCTGAAGCCACGATGAAGGAAATACGCGGAGCTTATGGTACCGTGTCTCGCTGTTTTTCACTGCACAAATCCTGCGCTCTGAGAAAGGCTCCCACAAGTGTTAATTCCCCAAACCGCTATTTAGAAAAAAAGAAGTACATTGGGGTGAGGAGCGATGACAACGAAAATGCTACTAGACAAGAACAAAAGAGGGTCAGCCATAAACACCAACTTACACAGGCAAGCAACGCCTACAGGGGTTCTGACCTCGTCTGCTTCGCACCAGCGATGCCTGTTTTCACGTCAAAGATACAGGCTGGCAAACGAACAAATTCCTGTCAAATTCCTTCCTTTTAAGAGGATGTGCCTTAAAAGCATGAGAAACCTGAACTGCACTGGGACTGGAGAAGGAAAAGGATACAAATGAGTCTCGGAAACTCATAGCCAACCCCTCTTTTCTTCTAGGCTGTAATAACTTTTTAAAACTTAAAACCAGTACAAAGTACTATACTCGGACAAGTTTGAGTCTTAAATCTGAATACACAAGGGTTTTTTTTAAGAATTAATACCCTGTCCCCACGTATTTTATGAGTTAAGATTTTAAACATTCCTCTTCCATCTGTGGCTTCAACATCTTCCTCACTAAAAATATGAAACATTTTAAATGCAGATGTCATTAGGCAAGAACAAACCACAGAAAGCTTGAGGGAATGAAATACACCTAACAGTACATCATCTGCTGGCATTTTCAAGTCCTGTTTTTATTAACAATACCAAGTTATCCTTACCGTCAGATGAAATCATGGAGCTCTTCTCGCAGGGCAGGGAGCACAGGGCTGCTTCTGAGCTGCCTGCTTATCTACTGCTCAGGTCTTTAAATTCTTGCAGTGTCAGACGCACATCTGACTTTGACAGTTTTAAGATTATCGCAGCTTAAGTAAGCAGTTAGCCCGTCCCGTCAGAGATGCTGATGGGATAAGGAGCCTAACTATTTAAGCAGAGCATCCTCCGGTCACTAAGCTTCCTGAACTGAAAGCGGCGTTTCTGCAATAGTTTTTATGCTATTTGAATTTTGCCTTTTTCATCAGGTAAGACTCCCCAGGACCTGACCCAGCCGTAAGTCTTGGAGCACCGAGATGCTGGAAGCAACAGCAGGGTTGGAGGATGTACCGACAGGCAAAGCAGAGGCCCTGCCTCCAGAGGACTTCCCAGTAATCTGTGGTTTGGGGTGTTCTAGGTAGGTGATACACACGTGAGCAAGAACTGCCAACTTCTGCACCCAGAGTAATTCTAACTCTATCAAACATTACTAGTTCGTGTGCTCTTACTAACAGAAATCAACGCAAAGCTTCAGCCAAGAAACTATTAACATTACACCTAAGGCCAAAGTGTTGAATTTAGGCAACTACATGTTGCCTCCTCCATGAATTACACAACGTTGTGATGCGAAGAGGTAAGGAATTGGAGAGATTAAAGCCATTCCCGCACATTAGGGCCAAGCAAGAATAATGACTGCAGCTCTGGAAAGATGCCACGACGACCTGCGTAGCCCAGCAAAGCCCCAAGCTCACGTGGCCCATCGTTGTTTCAAGCAAACCACCCAAAATATGGAAGGCTTTGAAATCAGATGCCTCTGCTGCCTTGTAGGAGGGAGAAGTTCCTTCACACAAACCTTTTGCCAGCAATTCTCTCCACACTGGAGTCGTCTTCAATGCCAAGTACTAAAACAAATCTCTCCCTCAGAGTCAAAACACTTCAAACAAAAAAAGAAATTCCATTTTTCTCTATTTATTCTGTAGAAAAAACAACTTACAAAATAAAATAAAGCCGTGGTTTTTAATCAAATATTATATACATGATCTGTCCCCATACAGAAATAGCTATGTAGGCAAACCCCATTACAGTAGGTTACACTTCAGATTTTACTGTTTTCCAGCAGGCTTATTCATCAAATTTATATATATTCACACGGCTGCCTGACCTATTTCACGACAACTGGGAAATTTTTCCATGCTGTGATACCAATTTTAGTCCACAAAAGTAAAATGTCAACAGCTGCTTTAATCAACCCTGAAAAAGCCCGTCTTGTTTGTACTTTAGAATTGGTTTAAACTTGTAATAGGCTCGTTTCTACACACGAAAATACAGAAACTATTTTGACAGTGATGCTTGACATGCTTCATTTAAGAAGAAAAACATGTTTACTAATCAGATCTTTCTTTTTTAAAAAAAAAAAAAACAAAATCAAAACCTCCTTTATTTCTGGAGATTTCATCACCTGGATTTAAGCTTATAAAGATAAAAGCCACTAAAAATAGGATGTTAATACTGGCACAAATACCCTCGTCACCAATGTTTCTTCATTGAGATTTGTTCACAAAAACTTGCAGTGGGATCGTAATTCCATACCACAAGAGGCCTAGCAGCTTTGGGCTTGCTCGGGTATTTCCCTGCAGAGTCAGATGGCAAAAACAGTTCTTAGATTTTTCTTCAAGACACTCCAGTACCTGGCTACCGAAACAGAGGATGAGACTTCCTCTTCGGACCCTCTCGTATTTACACATGCCATTATAACAAAACATTCCTCCAACGTTAAAATAATTTATTACTAAATTATCTGACAGCAGTGGCCCAAGTGTCATTTGTGGGGAGACTCGGAAGAACCCATCCTGGAGGGATGCCGCTTCCTTCAGGGTGATCAGCTGGCACCAAGTACTGATCCCATTCATGCCTTTAACAGAGAAAGCGTTGTTTGAGAGGAGAGCCGGTATGAGTTTGGTAATAAGATTTATTATATACCCACACAGGTATTTTTCCGTACTGATGAATAAACAAAACACTGTATATTATACTCTGAAACTTATTTTTCAAAACACAAATGTGAAAATTGTATGTACTATTCTATTAAACGGAATGGTTATGCATAGAAGTGCACCCTGCCTCACACAGGCATCTGTTGGATACAACTCTACCAAGTGAGAAGCTTGATCCTTAGCTGAAAAAAACCAGGACGATTCATTGCATAACCGTATTTGGAAGTTAACAAACCAAAAGGGACCATAATTTTGCGTTCTCAACAAACAATACCTGACACCATTGATAATAAAATAAAGACTTTGTTTGGTCTTACCTGATCTGGATTAGAGCTGCTACAGAATGCTCAGCTTGTAAGTAATATTCTCTGAAGGGCTGCAATAGATGGGCTAGAGGAAATTCATCTGTTAGAACACAAACAAAAGAAATCCTTCAATAAACCAGAAAGGCCCGCAATTCCAGTAAGTCTTAGAACCCCTCAAATTTGCCAACTCATTTGCTGCTCCCCAGCTATAACTTGAAATCACTTCCCTATGTAATATATTAAGGACTATTTACATGTTTCGCATGTCTCCTCATCCTTCTGGAGCTGTCAGAGGCAAGTCAAGACGAGCAAAACTTTTCCTGCCTCCATTCTCTAAACAAGAGGAACATATGGACACTGAATCTTTACAGATTACCCGAGTCGCACTTCCCAAATCACCAGACTAAAGCATCTGTTGGGTGCTGGAAGTCTTCAATCTATTCTGTTTATTCTCACTTCGACTTCATCTACAACCTCTTCTTGCAAAACATTACGAAATTGGCTTGAGATACACTGCAGTCTATGCTGAAGAGCTAAACAGTTCTTCTTGCATCACATGTGTTAACAGCACGCTATGTTTATCCCATCTTTTCCTCAGAGCATAAATTACTCCAGTGGATGATTTCTTTCTCAACTATTTTTGTGCCTGCATTTTAAATGCGCTGTCTGTGAGATGGGGGTGTGGTGTGGAAAAAAACTGTTGTTAAGTACGGCGTGCAGAATTTACCTGGATTCCCAAACAGCTTGGAATCAATTTCGAGTTTCTGCTGCAGTAGTTTTTCCCTTTCCTTCTTCTGTTTCTTTTCCACTTCTCTCTTCCTTTCCTCCTCCTGTTCTCCCTCCAGCATAACTCTCAGTGCTCTCTCCTCAGCTTCATACAGCTCTGTGCGATTTTTGAGCAACGTTTTGAGACTCTCCACCTGACTTTCAAATGCTTCGTCTGCTGAGGGGGGTGGGCAAACACCTAAACAGAAAGAGAAATAATTTTAAATTTTCAAATTCAGAAGGGGGTTTGTTATCAGACTTGAGAACACTGGCAAAATCTCAGAGGAACATGAGCTTAACCTTGCTAACAACTATTTTACTGGAATAATTCTTCTATCAAGAAAGAGCTTGGAAACGTCAGAACACAACAACTGTATTCAGCATTTTATAGCTATTCTTGCATAACAATGTAACTAAAATCACTAATAAAGAAACAGCTTTTCCAAGCCGCACCTTACTTATCAGCACAGGGCACGCGCATCATCTTATTTCCTGTGTGCATAATTAAAAAAGTTTGGTAAAAATCTCATCATTAACCTTTCCTGCCAGCGGCCTCTTTTCTCAGTTTCCGAAGCTTTTCTAATGCACGCAGGATGTCCACCATCCTCTTTGTGTCTGCTTGTTTCTTCCGTACTTCAGATAAGACGCTGTCTGCAGCGGCCTTGAGTTCTCGTTCCTATGAAAGAAAAAAAAAAAACAGATACAATACATGAAATATCCCACATAGACAAGAATGAAATGGTAGTTTCAAAAAGCTTAGGGAAGCACTGGAGATCAGGATAACTTCCTAGTAACACAGCCATAGCAAGTCACCCACCCAACCTCGCCTCTTCATGAAAAAGCTAAACACGATAGACCTCAGGAGAGAAAGACAGAATGCTGAGCAACTCATAAATTTGGGCCAAATTACTAATGAATTCATAAAGCCTGATAACCTTTAACCACAGGAAGTTAGGAAAAACATTAATAATAAATATAAACCATCCCGATTCTACAGCTTGGCAATTAAAGACCATTAACGTGCCACAACCTGAACACAAAACCTTTACCAACAGCTGCTCTGTACCATCCCAGCAGCAGACCTAGCACCAGCAGGGGGGCAGCTCTTTAGCCAACAGCTAGCACAAAGGTGCCTGCCCAGCAAACCTAATTTGAGGGATTTTTGGTTTTTTGCTTTGGAGCTGTTTTACTTCCCAGTGAGAGCAAAAAGCTTGCAAACAAGCAGCTTTACCTGCAGGCAAGGCTTATGGCTACTGAAATGGCACTGACCACTGTGGGGTAACCATGGGCATCGTGGGGCAGGCTGACAGCTCAGGACCAGAGAGGAAGACCTCCACACACAACTGAGAGTTCGGAAACTAATTAAACGCCAACTGCCAAGGCCTAGGACGCCAGCGTGGCAAAGCTGAGTTGCCCACCAAGGCTTTTAAGGAAGAAGCAGGACTGCAGGTGTTGGAAACGGCGTGTCTCCAAGCAAGCCGAACTTATGCAGCACCCAGGTGGCACCCACTGAACCGCAGGGGCCAAAGCCAGGTAGGCACAGCCCACCCGGAGCCCGCTACCGGCGGGTGCCCCGGAGGGAGGCGCAGGAGGCCCCGGGAGGCCGCACGGCGGCCGGGGGAGGCGGATCAGGCCGCCGGGGGCCGTACCCGGGTCTTCTCCTCCCCCTCCTGGATGCACTTGGCCCG